CACCCCTTCTCTTCTGCTCTAGAAATGTAATTTTTAATGTAATCCATTCATTTCGTGGTAAATTCATAGTTCTCAGGCCTATTATGTGCCTGGAGAGCTGACCTGAACACTGACCCCGCCTTCACACGGCTCAGCTCCGGGCTGAGCGACGGACACCAACCAAACACACACAGAGGGAGCAAACAAGCTGCTTTCCTTTTGATTATCTGTGCAAGTAAGTAATGAGAAATGAAACAAGGCCAAAATAAAAAACAATCATGCAGATGATAGATGATACGGGAGCTAAATGCTATGAAGGAGAAGTTGGGAAATTAAGAAAACCTGTAAGGGCGACTCAAACAGGGCGCTCCGGGCCCAGGGAAGGGTCCTCTGTGGAGGATCCACGGAACCAAGACAAACCTGGCCAAGAGTCCCTGAGAGGTGCCTTAGGTATGTGAGGGCTTTTGTTTGTTTTTTGGCCACGCTGCACAGCCTCCAAGATCTTAGTTCCTCAACCAGTGAAAGTGCCAAGTCCTAACCACTGGACTGCCAGGGAACCCCTCAGGTTCCCATTCTTTTTTTTAAATTATCATGGCAAGATGACCACAACATAAAATTTGCCACTTTCACCATTTTTAAGTGCACAATTCTGGAGCACTGACTAAATTCACAATACTGCACAACCACTTACCTCTATATTTCTAAAATGTTTACATCATTCCCAAACAGAAATCCTTTTTTTTTTAATGGAAGTATAGTTGACTTATACTTAACTATATTTATAAGTATAGTTAACTTATAACTACGTCAGTTTCTGAAAAAATTCTGTTCTCAGTAAGCAGTCCTTCCCAATCCCCACCCCAGCCCCTGGCTACCTCTAACCTACTTTCTGTCCCTATGAATTTGCATGTTCTGGACATTTCATAAATATCAATAGGTCACAGGCTATGTGGCATTTTCTGACTGGCATCTTTTTTTGATCTGGACTGTTTTTAAAGTCTTTATTGAAATTGTTAAAATATTTTTTCTGTTTTATCTTTTGGTTTTTTGGGCATGAGGCATGTGAGATCTTAGCTCCCTGACCAGGGATTGAACCCGTACCCCCTTGTGTTGGAAGGCGAAGTCTTAACCACTGGACCACCAGGGCAGTCCCCTGACTGGCATCTTTCACTGAGCATAAGGTTTCCAGGGTTCATCCATGCTGGAGCACGTCCCGGTACGCCATTCTTTTTTATGGCTGAATAATGTTTCACTGGGTGGATGAACCCTGTTTTGTTGATCCCTTCTGAGCTTGTGGACATCTGGGCTGTTTCCGCTTTGGTTACTGTGACTAGATCCGTATGTCCATTTCCAGCTGCCCCGGATGGGAGCTCAGGAGACTAAACAGACCTACAGCCACAGTGACACATAGAGATCATCAGGCCACCAGGCTGCCATGGCGGCTACAGTGAGTCCCATCTGGGGGCTCTATCTGCTCAGAGGATCCTGAGATAGAACGCAGGGTGAACGCCTGGCCTGACACGTAGGAAGGATTGTTCTTATGACTTTCATCAAATGCAAGGAAAACAAAGCTCAAAACACCAGCTCCACAGAACAGACCCTGAGCTCCCCAGAAAGACTCTTGGGCTATTGATAAACATTCCACTTCCTGGCCTATTCCATCTTATCTAGCCTTGTAAATATCTGGCTCTGTCTTTGTTTTATTTTTATTAATGCATAGAGAGCGGTATTCCCCTGCCAGGCCCTAAGCTGGAGGCTCTTGTGGTCTTTCCTCTGGATGTCTCCCAGGCTGCAGGCAAGGCAACGGAGGCTCACAGATGACAAGCCTTCTTCTCCTTACGAGCCTCCTGAAAGGGCCTCCCCGTCTTCCTCTCTGGCACTGTGTCTAGAGCAGGAAAATGCATACAGCGTCCAGGAAATTCCCCGGACCCCCTCTGCCCACTTTGCCAAGGGGCGGGGCTTCAGGAAGGGGAGGAGCCAGGATGCAGGATGCTGGCAGCCACACTGGTCCAGGTTTAACACTCAGCTCTCCACATGCAGTCTGTGCCAGTTTCCATGGTGTAAATACTCCCACCGGGGCTGATTTAAAGCCACCAGTGTGAGACTGCTGAATAAGGAGTGGAGAAGAGATGTGTAAAAGCTCCTGATGGATGGTATTTCTACCTCGTAGGTGCTACAGACATGAATACTCTTGAGAGCGGGGAGCATGGTTAAGATGTAGCAAGATAATTAGAAAGTAATATGCTTCTGATAAGGAGGACTTCCTTTTTCATGTAAATTACATAAGTTTATATGACTTAATTTTTAGTAAGGGCTCTGTTTAACTCTGGAGTAGGTACAAGCGGGCTTCACATAAACCTGGAAGCCCACCTCCCCTTGCCCTGACCTGTCCCAGAAGCCACAGCTGAAGAGCTGACTCAGCTTAGGTGGGGCAGTGGGGGCCATGTGGGAAGTCTGGCCCCTGAATGTGCAGGGGCTGCTTCCTACACTCCTAAATTCCCTGCCGGATATTTGCATGGAAATTAGAATCAGAACTGAAAGGGTCCTGGAGGTCAGCTGATTTTCTGCCTTCCATTTCCCAAGTGGAAATGAGGCCCAGAGATGGGCAGCGAGCAGCCCAAGGTTGCTCAGCTCATTAGAGATGTCACTGAGATAAATTCCTGGGCCTGGCGCCCTGCTGTCTCCCTAACCCATTGAGTCACCAGTCAACAGCCTATGTTTCCCCACGGGCTCTCTCCAAGGTACATTCTTGGCACAAATCTCTCCTGTGTCCTGGAGCTGGGGAGGGAAGCAGGTATCTGTTGATAACAGGAGAGAGTTTCAATCCAGTGAATACACACTCAAAGCACCTATGTTCTGATAAACAGTGGCTAAGTAATTTGGTTCCTGAAGCCCATCCAGGCATGTGTTTTTAGAGACTTCCCCCACCCCAGTGCACACTGCCCCCAATCTTCCCAGCCTCCTCATTCCTCCTAGTAAGATGTCATAACATTGGCTCCTGTGATGCTCTGGGTAAGGTGGAAATAAGACCAGGTGATGTATCAGAAATTTCTCTGCGGTCCTAGAACCATAGAACTAGATACTTTGTGGCCTAAATTGGCCTGCTGGGCCAGTGAATAGCACAGGAGAGCCCAATCTGACAAGGGTTGATTCTACTCCCTCCAAACACCTACCATCATTTCATGTGCTACTACGCTTTTCTACACCCACATGGCCTCCTGCCTGACCTGTAAAAGTGTAAGCTCTGGAGGCTGAGATTAGCCTCAGTACAGCTTCATACATCGTATGCCTGGCATCATTAAACATTCCCTTTACCCTCTTCTCCGCCTGGAAAACTCCTATTCATCCTTCAAAGCCCTGAGTTGAATATCCCCAACACTGGAAAACCTTCCCTGACTCTCCTGGCACAGAGCTGTACATATTCTTCTGGGCTTCCTTTGCATTTGCCCATAATTCACCCACAAGAATGTATGGGATGCCTTCTTCACAGCAGGCACCTGGCAGGGCACCAGGAACATTGCACTGAGGGAGACAGACTCAGGCCCTACTGTGAAGAGCCTACACCCACTCTGGGGAGCCAAACAGCACCCAATTTCATAATTATTTGAGCAAAAGTCACCAAGTCACATGGACCACTCAGTATGTGCTGTCTTTGATGGGTATGGAGTCATTCAGTCTTCACCCTTAGGCTGAGAGTGTTAGTAGTATCTTTCTGAACCTTCTATGCCTCTGTGCTCCCTTTTCGGGAGGGGGGGGGACCTAAAATGACATCCTCCCCCCCAGCAGACACACGACATCAGAGATCCTGTGGGTGTGGTCTCAGACCACCACAGTAAAGCCAATCCTGTGAATGTTTTAGTTTCCCAGCGCATCTACAAGTTACGTTTACATTATGCCACAGCATATTAAGCGTGTAACAGCATTACATCTAAAAAATACGCAATGTACACACCTTAATCACAAAAATACCCTATTGCTGAGATATGCTAACTGTCCTCTTAGCGTTCAGTGAGTCGCAATCTTTTCACAATAGTCACATCAAAAATCACTGATCACAGATCAATATAACAAACAGAATAAAAATACAGTGGGAAATAGCGGGAGAATTACCAACGTGGGATACAAAGACACAGAGCCACAAATGCTGCCGGAACAATGATGCCGGTATACCCACAGACCTCCATAGGAAAATCTGATGTGCTTGGATACATTTTCTTTTCGCTTCTCATTCATTCTCTGCAACCCCAGGCCTGTGGGGGTAACACGAGTTCCCCAAGGCTTGCAGATACAAGTTGCCATCCTCACAGCCTCGGGCAACCTGGGTGAACAGTGACCATTTAACTGCCTATTTGTTTAAACAAACTGAAAGGAGTGCACAGGTATTTTCCCAGATGAGATCACTGGTGCTCAGAGATGTCAAACAACTTACCTAAAGTCACACAGTCTTGTGAGCAAGAAGACAGATCCAAACTCAGGGCTGCAAGGCCCATGCTTCTCACCTCTGGTAATGGTGTGCCATCGCCTTCCCTCTATGGCTGTGACATGTTACCCAGCTGCTTACCCCATTCAATGAGGCCACCCTTAAGGGCAGGAGCTGCCTGCTGTCTCTGTGTTGTTCCCACAGGACCACACACGGAGCCTGGCCCAGAGCAGTTTCCACCAAGTATTTACTGAGTGGGTCAGGAAGCACACGGAAACATAACTGCACCCTATCGACACTTGGTTATTGATCGCTGAGAAACAACACTCAGTTTTAAGTCCTCAGACTCTTAAATTAGGTGCTGTTTATCAGGAGAAAGTAACCTTGGGTAGGGAAACCCATCGCTGTCCCCCCCATGTGTTTTTAGGGGCCCCGGCTTGTCTATTCCCAGGCACAGAGCCTTTTGAGGGCTGTGAGGTCCATCGGCCTGCCACCCGACTTTGGCACAATTCAGATAAAAACGCCTGCCCCGGCCTGCCCGCGTGTGGGGGCAAGAACTGCCCACCTCCCCCGCCCCAGCCGCCCTCACCTGGGCACTTACACGGGACCTCTCCGCCAGCCTCGAGGGCAATGCCCGCTCCCAGAGGCTCTTGGGGGACGCGGCTTCAAGGAGCAGCAGGAGCAGGAAGCACAGAGTCCAGCTGACCTTTCTCTGGCCGCTGCCCATCCTGCGGCTGGTTTGACGCGTTTCTTCTCCGGGTGGTCAGAGAGGGGCGCTCCGGCCGGTGGGCCCTAGAAGGGGGAGCAGAAGTGTGCTCGGGCTGCTAGAGAGTCTCTCAGCTCCACTCGGCCGGGTCCTTGGGAGCGTGTGTCCGCGCCCAGCCCCGGCCCCCACCCCCATCCCTTGGTGGGGGCCGCCCGCCGGGTTATTTTTAGCTTGCCCTATTCCATCTGGCCCCAGAGACTCCCCGCCAGACGTCCGCAGCCGAGGCGGCTCAGAAGGCAGCGGCAGCAGACGGGGGCATCACGCTGCTTGCAGACGTGGCTGGGAGTGGCCCTGTCACACGGGGATAATGAGCACTTCCTTGCAGGCTGGGCTGTCCCCTCCCCAGGAGAGCTGCTGGCTTTGGGGGCTGGCTGGGGCCGGGTGGGGGTGGGCACCCAGGGGATGGGCTTGGGGCTTCCGGCTGCTACTCTGTCCAAACTTGAAGCTGGTCTGACAAACTCTTCTGCCCACAAAACTTCTTCGCAAGACTTGTTACTGAACAGGGCCAGCGGAGCACATGGCTGAGGAAGAGTGCCCTTGAACCCTGGAAACCTCCTCTCCAATATGGGCATGTAGACTGTTACTCACACGTCATGGGTCTCTTGGGAGAGTTCTGTACATTTGTGCGAGTAAAGCACTTCATGGACATCCTAACACTGTTATAAATGTCAGCTTCTGTGTGTTTTATACACAACTCCGTATTTCATAAACTTTGTACTCTTATTGCCTGTTCTCAGCAACCCCAAGACAGGCATTGCTATGATGTCCATTTTACAGATGGAGTAATAGAGGTATGATACTTGCCTGAAGTCAGGCAATGGTGGCACGGCTGGGGCTCACACCTGCCCTGTCTGATCACTGTGATGCCACCAGGGGCAGCTCTGGGCTTAGATGCCACTGGGCCGGGTCCCAGCTCAAGCTCGGTCTGTGGGGTGCTGACTGCTCCTCACTTCTCTCATCTGAGCCACGGAGTTTGCGGTCACTCATCACAGTGACAGCGGGAAGTTCCTACACCCTGGAGTGGGATGTAGGCTCTCAAGGTCCAGTCCCCGCATCTCTCTTACTGCATGCACCCCAGGGCCCTGCACAGTGCCAGGCTGCATCAGCACCCAGGAGGCACTGGCCTGATGCACAGAATAACTCATCACGATGATGACTCCACAAGGGCATCTATGGACGAAGAGATGGTCATAAAAGTCAGGCATGTTTCCCGAAGCCCCCCCTTCATGGCTGACCTCTCAGGCATCCCCTCAGGACATCTCCCAGGGCCTGGCACACAGCAGGTGCTCAATAAATGTTCTTCAAGTGAGCTATCAATTCCTCAGCTGGATTTGGACCACAGGGACCCAGGACGCCAAGCAATGTCCCAATAGTTAATGTCCTGCGATCGTTAACTTGTGAAAAGGCTCCTCCCCAAGCCTTTACCACAAGAACGACTATTCTGGGAACACGGCCGCCCTGTGCGTTTCATGTGGAAGGAGAAAGGGCTCTGAGACAAGAAATAAACATGGTACAAATCCCCCCAGGAACGCAGTGCTTTCCTTTGATCAGGGTGAGGCAGGGTCTCGGCCTGACAGCCTGCCTGGATGCTCCCAGCTGGGGCCGAGGGGGCCCCTCAGGATGTCAGGGCAGGCGGCTCCTCCCCTATTCCTGCCAAGCCTCAGAACTTCATGTTCCAAGTGGCAGAGGTCCTCCTGGCTGATCTGAGCTCTGGAGACCTGGACTTGATCCTGAGCTTAGCGGGCTGCCCTCCCGGGACTCATCACGCCGGAGTGTGACTTCCTGCAGAACTGTGGGCGAGGTTTCCTCTGGGAAAGCCCTGGAGCTGGTGAGACCTTTCATCTCCTCCTCTGCTGCCAGGGGCCAGCTGGTGAGGCCTGCCAGCGGGGTCTGACTGCTTTCCTCCCTCCAGAAAGACAGGAAAATAGCTCCCTTAAAAATACAGAGGGCGCAAGTGCATAGTAGGGCCTCTCTCTAAGGAGCAGAGAACATGGCCAATGGTTACAGGGTCTAGGAGGAAATCCTGCCCTTCCAACCCCCATAAGCTTCCCCACCAGATCACCAAGGCAATGATTCCTTCCCCTAAAAGGCAGAACATTTCTTCCATAGTGAACCAATCAAGCAAGTAAGTACTTTAGGAAAAGGGACAGGGAGTATTAAATTCATACTTTATACTAGAGTGTGAGTGACTTCCAGCAGAAAGAAACATAGAAGCATAAAAGGGAAGAACAGAGAACATTCATTCAATTCGTTCCAACATTTGAATACCTACTATGTGCCAGACTGGCGAGAGTAAAACCAGGCCTAGCCCCTGCTTTTACAGGGCTTAACAAATGGAGGAGTCAGATATTAAACAGTGTTTTTAATAAACACTTTGATGGCACTTTTTGGTGCCAGGTAGTTTCAAGTGCATAAAAAAAATACTAATTCATTTAACCTATCACAACTCTATTAAATAGCTATTATCATCCCATTCTACAGATAAGGAGACTGAGTCTCAGACATACAGTGGAGTGCTTTAAAAATATTCACTCATTTAATCTATCAAAATTATGTTATGTCAATACTCTTACTATCCCCATTTTACAGACAGGAAAACTGAGGGTCAGAGAAATGAACAAACTGCCAAACTGTTCAGTTCAGTTGCTCAGTTGCGTCTGACTCTTTTTAACCCCATGTACTGCAGCACACCAGGCCTCCCTGTCCATCACCAAGTCCCAGAGTTTATTCAAACTCATGTCCATCAAGTCGGTAATGCCATCCTACCATCTCATCCTCTGTCATCTCCTTCTCCTCCTGCCTTCAATCTTTCCCAGCATCAGGGTCTTTTCCAATGAATCAGTTCTTCACATCAGGTGGCCAAAGTATCGGAGTTTCAGCTTCAGCATCAGTCCTTCCAATGAACATTCAGGACTGATTTCCTTTAGGATGGACTGGTTGGATCTCCTTGCAGTCCAAGGGGCTCTCAAGAGTCTTCTCCAACATCACAGTTCAAAAGCATCAATTCTTCGGCGCTCAGCTTTCTTTATAGTCCAACTCTCACATCCATACATGACTACTGGAAAAACCATAGCCTTGATTAGACAGACCTTTGTTGACAAAGTAATGTCTCTGCTTTTTAATATGCTGTCTAGGTTGGTCATAGCTTTTCTTCCAAGGAGCAAGTGTCTTTTAATTTCATGGCTGAAGTCACCATCTGTACTGATTTTGGAGCCCCCAAAAGTAAAGTCTGTCACTGTTTCCATTGTTTCCCCATCTATTTGCCATGAAGTGATGGGACCAGATGCCATGGTTTTAGTTTTCTGAATGCTGAGTTTTAAGTCAACTTTTTCACTCTCCTCTTTTTCACGTGCCAAACTATGGACAGTAACTGGCAGACCTGGGACTGCAACTCAGACATCTGCTTTCAAAGTCTGGGCTCAAAACCACTGCACAGTGTACCCACAGGAGCTAAGCTGCAAGGTGGGCAGATGGGCTGCGGGGGAGGTGCTGTGACCGAGTCACAGAAGCCAGCAGAGGTCTCCCAGGAGTGGCCAGATGCCTGAGAAGTGAAGGATGAGGCTGGACAGAGGACGGGCTGGAGATGCCAACCGATGGGCTTAGAACATACTGCTGCCCAGGAAGAGGGCGGGGGCAGGAGGGGAGCCTGGGTTGGCCCTTACCCAGAGGTGAGGTGGTGCTGCCATCCGAACAGAGTCACATTGTTCCATGCGCCCTTGGTGCTCTTGCCTTCCTGGGCCTTTCCTCTACTAAAAATAAAATAACAGTAACAATAATCTTTTATGACTGCACTAATAAAAAGACAAATATATTCCAAGCTGGAATATATTCTTTTTATTTTCTTTGGGTTTTTTTTTTTTTGGCTGAACTGTGTGGCATGCGGGACCTTAGTTTCCTGACCAACAGCCGAAACTGTGACCCCTGTGCTCCATTGGGAGCGCAGAGTCTTAACAACTGGACTGAGAGGGAAGTCCCTACTTCCTTTGATTTTAAAAGAATTTAACACACCTTTCTGGGCCCATAAAAGTCTAGTAGGCCCTGGGCTGTGTGCCTGAAGATGACCCTGGGCCCAAATACTGCTGTGTGACGTTAGGCAAGGCTTTGCACCCTCTGAGCCAGAATTAAAACAGAGACGATAGGTGAGTCTGTGTAGGAGGTGCCAGGTCTCAGCAGTGTTCTCTGCGAGAGGAGGGAGGGCCGCTGGGAAAGCCTGCTCAGCTGGACTGAAGCAGAGCCCGCCCTGCTCCGCTCCAGCCAGTGAACGACAGCAGATGTCCCCTGGCCGCCCAGCCTTGGAGACCCCAGCCCTGACCTCACTGCACCCCGCCGCCCTGCCCCTGACCTCCGCTCAGCATCCCTCTCCTTCCTCGACTCTGCTCTCCAGCAGGGAAACTCCCCACTTCTCTCCACTGCTCCCCTCCTCCCACGCCCCAGAGTGACTGGTCTGGGACCAGGCTCCCTGGGAACTGACCCTCCGCTCTGGCCACTGGGACCTCCCTCACTTTCTCTCGCCATTCAGGATGGCTGCGGGGCGAGGTCCCCTTCAAGCAGCAAGAAGGCATGAAGCCGTGGGACACCAATGGACACGTTAGGTGGGGAGGCTGGCTGCCTCGTGGCCCCTTCCTCCCACAGCTGAGACTGGGACTGGTTCCACCAGCGGGCTCCGCCCCTCGCTAGCTGCCGGACCAGGTCACTGCTGGCTTCTCGAGGTTTTGCCCACAGGACCTGGACTCATCCTCAAAGCAGCGTTTCTCTCTCTGCCGCTTGTTTGTCTTTCTCCCCCAAAGCACCTCTGATCATGAAACCCCTCCCCATCGCCCCTCCTGAGCTGAAGGCCTTGCCACGGTCCTGTGGGGACGTGGATAAAAACACACTCCCCAGGGCCTTGCCAGTCTGGACTGGCCTTTCTGGCTGCATCACCCATGGGAGGGGCTGTCAATCACATCCACACCTGGGTCCAG